GGAATGAGCGGGCTGGGGGGAGGACGGCACGGAGACGTCTGCTGGCAGGTGGGACAGCTACGGCAGAACCGTTTCACTTCCGCCTCTAGTCCGGGCCAGTGAAAACGGTCCCGGATGCGCTGGATGGTATTGTCGGCTCCTAGGTGTCCCGCCATTGGGTGGCCGTGTGCCAGCTCCATGACTGTCTCCGTCTTGGTGGTAGGCACGACCAGGAGGAATTTGTCCTCCCCCCGCCTGTGGGCGACACAGTACAGCAGACCATTTCGTATTTCAAAATGAGGGAGGGGGTGGGGGCCCGGGAGCCTGTCTACCTCATCAATGCGGCGCACTTGATCCCAGCAGTTCCGCAGGCGGTCGTCCTCGCGTTGCTCCCTTCCGAACGAGCCCCCGGTCGTGACCTGGGAAAACACATCAAGGTAGACAGACGGTAGATTAGCGGGCTGACACTCACCCTCCCTCTCGCTGTCCGTCGCTAGGTAGGCCGGCCTTGGGCTGGGCGGTCCCCGACGGGGTCGCCGTGGCCCGTTCCGGGCGGTACGGCCTGGCATCCTGGGTCCGAGGAGGAGCTTCTGGAACCCCGGCCAGTCCCGTCCCAGGAGCAGAGGTACGGGGAGATCCGGCACAATGCCCACCTCGATGGCCCAGGTCCCGGGCTCCGCTGAAATCCGCACTGTACGGGCCGGTACATAGCGGGTGTCTCCGTGCACACACGTCAGCGGCAACTTGGATTTCTGCTCGGGCCTTGGTCGTACCAGGGACGGTTGCACGAGGGTGACTGAACTGCCGGAATCCAAGAAGGCCTGTACTGGTTTCCCTTCTAGTTTTACCATCCTGCTGGGGCCCGGGGAAAGTCCGTCCTGGTGCAGGAAACACCCCGCCATCCAGGCCCGGGCCGTCGGGGCCGGGGGTTCCGTGGGCATTGGCTCATCCGCAAAGTCGGGGACCGCCGGTCTGCTGCCTGGTCGCGGTGCACCTTCGAGCGGACGCCGCTCCATCACCCTGCGGGGCGCCAGGCCCGCTCTCTCCCCTGCCTCGCGGGCGTTCGTTGCCGCCGCCAGTTCGACCGCCTCTACCAGGCTGTGGATGTCCTGGGGATTTCGCATACTGACCGGGCGCCTCAGCGGGCGGGGCAGTGCCCTTAGCAGCCGATCGATGAGCACTTGTTCTGGCTACCTGGTCCGGGGTCAGGGACCCCGCGAGAAGCCACAGGTGAGTCAATCGGGCCAGTTGCGCAGCTTGCGCTCTCACTGGCTGCCGTTCATCATAGGTCTCCTTCTGCATCCATGTGCAATAAGCAGTGAAAGTCTCATAGCAAAATCAATTGGAAATTTGAATAACAAAATCTGTTCTCTTTCCAAGTGTAATCTCATTTAAGAATATTAAGCATCTGATGTCCTATGATTTTAATTCTAGCGTCTGTGATTGAATGTTCCCAGTTGATGCCACTTGTGATGGAGGATTTACAAATCCTTCAGAGAATTGATTGAGAGGAATGACTACGATCACAGTGCAGACAATGGCAGTTTGTTTTCTGAATGCAACATTTAGGAATTAAAGCAGGGGGTTGGTGCGGGGGACATATGAGCATGATATGATAAATTGTATTCTAAATTATATATATATATATATACAGAGGCGGACAAAGTACTCAACTCCATTACTTGAGTGAAAGTACAGATACTGCTGGTCAAATATTACTCCATTACAAGTAAAAGTTGTAAAGACAGATTTTTATTTAAGTAAAAGTACAGAAGTACTTGCTTTTAAAAGTACTTAAGTATCAAAAGTAAATTTCCTTTTTTATGTCAATGCACATATTTTTTATTGTTGTACGTAAAAC